GCGGCAGCGGCGAGCTGCAGCTTGCACAGGGTTGTAGCCAGGGACAGGGAGGGAGCAGGGTGTGTTTTGGCTGGCCGTAGGAGTTGTTTCCCAGCTGAGGTGTCTCACTGGGCTGTTGATGAGATGTGCAGAAGAACCAGCAGCAATGTACTGGTGTCAGCTGGAAGAGCCCCAAAACTGCCGGGTGAATAGCACCCTTGTCTTTGCTCTTGGAGATGAGGTCTGATACGGTCTGGCTCTGGGGCTGATTTATTCTCTATTTAGCTTCCTTTCATCCTCGCCCTCGGGCTCCTTGTTTGGAAAGCCTCCTTCTAGCAGCCCCACGGGGAGAGCGAGGCCGTGCCGGAGGCTGCAGGGCTGTTTGAGCACTGCGACGGCCACGCTGTTGGGCGGACGTCTGTGCCGTGGGTGTCTCCGTGGGAGCGAGATGGTCCTTGTGCCATGGAGGAAGGGAGGGGGGCACGTGAGTCAGGATGAGTGCTCGTGCTCAGGTAGACCCACTCGGTGCCCCCCACCCAGGGTCCCTCCTCCTGTGTAAGCCCCTGTCCCCCATCCTGCCTCCTCATCTGCTTTCCACTGCTCCTCTCCCATTTTCTCCTTGCACTTGCACTGGGACAAGCTGGTGCAATAGGTCTTCGGTCTCCCGACTTCCCGCACCCATCCCCTCATGACATTTTGTCCCTTAGGACCGTTTAATCTGTCCTTCCCCAATCCCAGCTCCCTGTGCTGCCCCCCGAAACACTTCTGTGTTACCTGGAGCTGCAGTTCTTTCACTGACCTCTCCAGCTCAGAGCCAAGGAGGGAGATGGATAGTAATGCACTAAATATCTTTCCTGCAGTGTTCATGCTCTTAATCCATTCTTCATTTCCAGGCTCTGAAATGACCCATCTAAAGGCAAGGTGCTTGGTCTATGGCAGTTGTGCAGGGTCTCTTCGGGGTCAGAGGGAAGAGGGAGGAGAACCAACCTCCCTCCGGAGATGCTGGTTGCCTGGTGGTGGCTCTCGAGGGAGCCGAGCTGACGGCCTCGAACAGGACGCTCGGTGTTCAGGCGAGGGAATTAGATGTGGAGCACGGGCTCTCAGTCCGTCTAATAACCATGCCGAGGTTCTGCACCTTCTTACCCTGCACGCCGGTCTCCTCCTGCTCACCAGCTGGTCCAGACTGAAGTTTGCGAGCGAGTTACGTACACACAATTAAATTCACCGGGGAAATACAAACACTCCCAGGTCTCTCCAGCTGCTGGTGTTTAGACCCCTCATACATGCACATACACATGCACATGCACGTGCACATAAACATACACATGCGTATGGACGTACACATATACACGCACATACACACGGACGTGCCTGTGCACATTCAGGTGCACCCTGACCTAGACCTGTGAGCCCTGTGGCCCACACCCCTCCAGCTGCAGGCACTTAGACCCTGCGGCACTCGCGCGTAGGAGAGAGTGAGATTACGCCGAAAAAAATAAGCTAAGGGAAGGACTGCATGAGAAGAGAAGACGGACTGCAGTGATCAGGCTCGGTCGGACAAGGGCACTGACTGGCAGCTGGTTTAAACATGTCCAGCCCTTTCTAACTCCCCCACCTCTCCATTTTCCTACACTCATTCCCCACCCCATCCACCCTGACCCCCCCTCCTTTCCCCACCTTTAGCCTTTCCCCTGAACATCCCGTAATAAGTCTCGCAGAGTCCCACAAGCCTGTAATACTCCTGATAATTGTGTTTCCCCCTTCTTATCTGCTGCAGGGCTCAGGTGGACCCTGTTCAAGGCCATGCCCCAGCAGGTCCCTTCCCGGCCCATCGGCAGTGGCTGAAGCCTCTGCTCTTCCTAGTTGTCTCCCTTATCACCTGCCTGGTAATTTCTATGTCATTTTTTTAGTTTGTTATTCCTTTCCCTGCTATTTGCTATTTTTTTTTTGTGCTGAATCATCCTTAGACAGATACTGGATGCTCTCACAGCATATCCTGGCTCTCCTGCCCGTGTCTGGCAGCTGGGGAGAAGCTGGTGGACAGGGATGCTTCTGGAGAAGCACCCAAGGGTGGGATTCCTCTTGCCCACCTCCCATGTCTGCCATGCAAGGGGCTCTATGGGATCCAGCCGATCTCGTAGAGAACTGAGCAGCGAATGCAGACATAGATGCCACCAGGACCTCTTGGATGTCTCCTGGAGGATGGGATGAGTTGGTAGAGCTCTCCTCAGCGGGAGCCCAGGTGAGCAGCTCTGAAGGAGTCGTGTCTGCTGTGGGGTGCTGCTGGGCTCCTCACCCTACAAGGAGAGCAGAGGGACACAGAGTGCACCCAGGTGTCCTGGAGTAGCCAGGTCCCAGGTCCTACTTAGGTGTCTCCAGTTGGTTCATACCTGAGCGACAGTGCCAGCAACATCCGTGCCACCAAGATACGGCCACGCTCAGAAAGGGGACATCCTCTGAGATCTTTTGAGATCATCTGTAGAGGGTTTCAAACCTCGACTGGAAAAGGCCCTGAGCAACCAGATCCAGCTTGGAAATTGGCCCTGCTTTCTGCAGGGGGGTGGGCTGGAGACCTCCAGCCGTTTCTTCCAACCTCAGTTTTTTTCCATGAGTCTAAAAAATAACGGGATGGGAGGCCCAGAAGAAGAAGGAAGAAAACAAAATCTGGAGAGTTTAGCTGATGGCAATAAGTGTGTCCTGTCACCCTCCAAGCGCCCGAGGAGGGGAAAAGCAAGAAGCAAAGCTGAATGCTGCGCAGGGAGTTATAGCTGAACGGAGGAAACCAGAGGCAGCAACGGCTGCTGAGATGCTCGCCTCTGCTCCCCGCCGGCTTCGGGACTCTCCTGTAAGGAGTTTTCCCGCCGCGTTGGTCTGGCCACTTCCCAACACCTGTGCCCGGCCTGGGAAGCTGCTTTCCTCCTGCATCCCCTCGCACCTCCCTGGAGTCACCCTGCCGAATTCCCCGCTGTGTCAGCCTGGGTGGGTCTCCTCTGCCTCCGTTCCTCCCACTGAGGAGCTGTTGCTCCCTTAATCCGTCTTCATGAATCAGCCTCCGGCTGCTGCTGGTTGGTCTCCCTGGGGTTTACCGTCAGTTATTTCTCCGGGAGCTCAGCGTGGGCTTGTCTGTCCAAGCGGAGACGTCTCTTTCAGCTCAGCATCCCTTTCTGAGCTGAGTGAAAGCAACAGGCTCTTCCAGGTCACAGCTCCTCTTGGGCTAACGGGGACACCCATATTGGGTCAGATGAATTTGCCCCATCTATGTCCTTTCTTCCCTCCCCACCTCCCTCCTTCCAGCGTGATTTAGGGAGCAGAAGGAAACCCCTCGCCCAGCCCTCCCTGTGCATTTCCAGTCCTGTTGCATTTGCACGGCCGGGCAACGGGCAGAGCAGGACCCCGCTGTGCAAAAATACAGCCCCGGTCCCACCGGAGCAGGGGGATGCGGTGAAGGGAGCAGCATCAGGGCACCGTCACGGTGGTCTGGCTGTGCCGTTTTAAATCAGCAGCAGGAAAAAAAAGGTATCAACTGTGGAGGAGGGGACTGTCTGGGAGAAAGCATCATGGGGTTTACTCGGAGAGCTGATGCGTGGGTGAAGGGAGCTGGAAGAAGCCTGTATCAGTCACAGCTCACAGAGCAGGTAGCGGGGGGACGGCTGATTTATGGCAGAGCCGGAGACATTGCGGTCCTGAGAAGGAAAGCACTGTGTCGTTGCAGGCCGTAATTCCCACTTTTCTGCCCCTGCCTATCTAGCTGTTCTGGATTTTGGGATACAGGCAGGCTCGGTGGGCATTTAGCAGGGCCATGCAGGCAATGCTTAAGCAGCATTGGCAAGAATATTATAGAGCTGCCGTTAGTTATTGGTACAATAACCCAGCAGTGGTGATGGAATGGGTCCTGGGAACAGCAAGCTGAGACGTGTCCTGGCAGGAATGAGGACCAAGGTGTGAGCCGAGTCCTGGGAGCAGCTGGAAGGGAAGAAAACATACTCTGGGCACGCAAACCCCTTCCAGCTGAAGGAAATCCCCGACCCTCAGCAGCACCACTGCAGTTTTGCAGGTAGTGATGAGTCAAGTGCCAGATCTCTGTGTCCCCTGGTATATTTAATAAGCTGCACGCTTGCACAGACACCCAGCCCTCCCTGTGCATTTCCAGTCCTGTTGCATTTGCACGGCCGGGCAACGGGCAGAGCAGGACCCCGCTGTGCAAAAATACAGCCCCGGTCCCACCGGAGCAGGGGGATGCGGTGAAGGGAGCAGCATCAGGGCACCGTCACGGTGGTCTGGCTGTGCCGTTTTAAATCAGCAGCAGGAAAAAAAAGGTATCAACTGTGGAGGAGGGGACTGTCTGGGAGAAAGCATCATGGGGTTTACTCGGAGAGCTGATGCGTGGGTGAAGGGAGCTGGAAGAAGCCTGTATCAGTCACAGCTCACAGAGCAGGTAGCGGGGGGACGGCTGATTTATGGCAGAGCCGGAGACATTGCGGTCCTGAGAAGGAAAGCACTGTGTCGTTGCAGGCCGTAATTCCCACTTTTCTGCCCCTGCCTATCTAGCTGTTCTGGATTTTGGGATACAGGCAGGCTCGGTGGGCATTTAGCAGGGCCATGCAGGCAATGCTTAAGCAGCATTGGGAAGAATATTATAGAGCTGCCGTTAGTTATTGGTACAATAACCCAGCAGTGGTGATGGAATGGGTCCTGGGAACAGCAAGCTGAGACGTGTCCTGGCAGGAATGAGGACCAAGGTGTGAGCCGAGTCCTGGGAGCAGCTGGAAGGGAAGAAAACATACTCTGGGCACGCAAACCCCTTCCAGCTGAAGGAAATCCCCGACCCTCAGCAGCACCACTGCAGTTTTGCAGGTAGTGATGAGTCAAGTGCCAGATCTCTGTGTCCCCTGGTATATTTAATAAGCTGCACGCTTGCACAGACACCTAAAAATCCAGATTTGCCCCTGATGCTGGGGACAGGGAGGTGAGAAAATAAACGCATTTATTTTCAGGGTCTTGGGGTGGCTTGTGAGCCCGAGGCAGTGATGCCGAGCGGGTGATAGAGGAAGACATGTCCCCATCAGGGGGCCAGTGCTGGTGGAGAACAAGCATCCCTCCACCGCAGAGGGAGGTATGGGACTGCCGGACCCACGGGAGGGTATTGGGGAGCACAGTGTAGAGCTGTTGCATTGCCCAGGGGAGGGAGGAGGGGGGGTTCCCAGGCTGCTGTGGGATTTTGGAGGTGCTGTTTAAGGCCTGCTCTGCCATCTAATGGACAGGGAGCACTGAACAAGAGAGGCGAGCGTGTCTGCAGTGACTGCATCTGGGGCATGTTTGGTGCGTGCTGGTGGGGCTCGGGGTGCCCATCTCCTGGTACGAGCTGTGAGCATCTCCAGCCGGCTTGCACGTACATTTTACATAGGATCTGGTTTTTAGACTGGTTGTCCTAAAAACAAACAGTAAAAGGGTGGTGAAAGGGGCTGGGGTCCCGTATCACACCCGCTCCTTGCATAGCGTGGATGCGGTCGTTGCTGTTTGCAGGACACCAGCCATTGCCCAAAGAGCAGGAGGTGGCTCACCGTGCAAGGTGTCGATAACCTGTGGAGCTCCTTATAATGTTATAAAACATTATGTGGTTCAAGGGGAGATTGGACAACTTTTTGGAAGGAAAGCCCGGCCGTGGTGGCATTGCGAAATATACAGAATCCTAGAATCATTAAGGTTGGAAAAGACCTCTACGATCATCAAGTCCAACCAACTCAATGACAACATAGAGGCCACATCCATGTTGCAATGAGTTGCAGACAGGAGGGTGTTTGGAGAGGAACCCTATACGCTTGCCTTGCTCTTGCAGCCCTAGGCTTGCCCGTGCACGCCCTGCCTGCACCACAGCCTGGGAATATCAAGCTGCCTGTGGCTCCCACGGTAGGCCGGGGAGCTGGTATGGGGCCGCAGGGTGAGGGTGAGGGTGCAGGCACCGTCCTTGGGGTCCTTGGTCTCTGTCGGTGCATGCAGTGAGCGCTCCTCTGCCCGCTTGCTCCCCTGCCTGCCCATCCCTGGGGGGTCCCGGGGCCATGCCCCGGGCTCCGTGCCGCTCCCCAGGCATCCCCCCCATCCCACCTTTCTCCCCGCCCGCAGCACGAGGAGGCGGCCGGCCGGAACCACAGCCTGGCCCAACGGGTGCAGGACCTGGAGCATCGGTACAGCGAGGCCAGCACCCTGCAGCACATCCAGGCCACGCTGCTCTACGACATGCAGGCGCAGATAAACAACATCTCCGTCCTGACCGACTGGGCCTGGCGTAACCCCACCTGCCTCAGCCCCGCCGAGATGAGGCTGCAGGAGGAGATGCATCATCCAGGTGATGGGGAGCTGCTGGGGCCAGCGGGGAGGGGATGCTTCGCCCTTAAAGCCTCTCTCGAGGGGGGTTGTAGAGCAAGGGTGTGGGAAAACTGCTTTTAATCCCCTTTGCATTGGCCAGGAGTCTGATCTCACCCAACCTGCCTTTCCAAGGCAGCCAGGAGGGCTCATCAGAGCAATGGACACCTCTGGGAATGGTTTCCATGCCATCTAGGAGAGGGGTCCTGTCCCTCGGTGGCTCCTTTTTCTCTCCATGGATGGTGTGAGATGCTCGCGGGGACCAGCTTAGGCTCTGACAAGCAGGTTGGCATTGCTCCCACCACCACCCCACCTGCAGTCAGCTGCCTGAGCCTTCCTCCCAACTCCAGGGACTGTTTTTCCACCAAAAACACCCCACCAAAAAAACAAGATTTTTTTTTTTTCCTTCGAAAATTCACAACATGAAATTAGGGCTTTGGTGAAACTCTTCAACTTTGTAAAAGAACTATTTTCTGTTATTTCTCACATGTCCTTTTTTTAATGAATGCATTTAATTTTTTGCCAGCTTTTTGGTTGTTTTCCTTGTTAGTCCCTGGAATGTTTTCTTTGGTTTTTAGCAAACATGGGAACTTTCAATTAAAGAATTTGAGGTTCAGTTTGACCAAAACCCCATTTTCTGCCAAAGAACCCACTGCCGTGAAAACATTTTGACCAGGGCTGACCATAGCCAGGATCTGCAAAGCTCAACCTTGAGGTGCTGGAAGGGCAACTGGGTTGCTTTTGCAACCTGTTCGAGTCTCTGGGTCCGTGGCAAGGGGGGGGCGGTCTTGGAGAAGACAAGGCCAGATGTGCCAGTCTGGTCCCCGTGCCCCAAATCCCATCTCCTGGAGGAGCATTGGAGAAGGACGGAGCGACACTTCTCCTGAATAGTCTTCCAGCCTTTGGTGAAGTGTGGTTGAGGGACTTTAAAGACAGCATCTGTCTTCTCCATCGAGGGGCGGGCTGGATGGGGTGACTCAGGCAGCACGTGCCGCTGAACTGCTAATGGCTTTCACCTACCAACCTTGATCTGATTTGAGCTGGTGACGTCTCGGAGGAAACGTCATGTTAATTCTCCCTTGAGCCAACTAGTCTAAGTCCTTTCCATTGTGCTCGTTTAAAGCTCTCTTGGCCATCCATGTCGTGGTGGAGGTAGCACAAACAGCTCCTCTGGTACCTGCTTCCAGGTGCCTCTGAGCCCTGAGCAAGAAATGCTCTGTGCAAAACCAGGACATCAGAGTTGATGTCTACACCCGTGACCACCACCTGCAGGCCAAAGCTGTGATTCATCTCAATAACTTGACGTGACCGGGATGGTGACTTCTCTGGCCCAGAGAATGCCAGCCCGAGTGCAGCTGGTTGATGCAGCACTTTTAGCTGACTAACTTTAGGTGAGATCGGGCTCTGCCTGCTGTCCCAGATGCTTGCTGGGTCTAGATTGCCTCTCCCTGCCCTCTGCTTGCTGCACACAACTGGTTTCTCCCACACGCTCCCCTGCAGCAGCACTGCTGGTCGGTGCCAACCTCAAAGGATGTCCCCAATCTGTCACCAGCCTGCAGCCTGCGGGGGACCTCCCAGCCACCACGCTCTCCAGCTGGTGGGCCGGGACTTTGCAACTATTCATCCATCATTCCCCCCCGGACTCACTTTCCCATCCGCAAGGATCGTTCATCGTCTGCCAGTCCCGTGGTCTCATCCTTTCTGCGTGCCTCCTGGAAGGGCAATCTCCCACGCGTGCTTTCTGCTCCCTCCCTTCCTCGGGTTCCTGGTTCTCCCAGTGATCCCAGTCTGGTATTCAGGCCACGCTGTGCTTCAGGCTGGTCTAGCCGTGTGAGTAAAAGGAAGGGGAGCTGCCTGTGTGAGCTGCCTTTTCTGCCTTTCTTTCTAAAGATGGGATTCATCCCACCAGGGAGGCTCAGCTCACAGATGAAGATGCTTCATGTTGAGTGTCTACATACGCGTGTCCCCACATGAGCTGGATATTTAAGATAACGAGGCAAACAGTGCATAGACCAAGAGCAATTCAGCGTGCCGTTTCCACTGCTATGACTAGGGTCTCAGTTCAGCTGACACCTAGTGCCACCCAAAATACTCTGGAGCATCCAAGACATCCACATAGGCCTGGCAGATACAAGACAGGACCTATATGGGACAGCTGAAAGCCAGCCCCAGGGCATCTCGGATGTCACCGTGCACCTCTGTGCAGACAACCCAGCTGAGCTCCTTTGGTAGGTGATGGAGGGAGACAGGGAGAGTGGCTCTTCTCTCCTGTCCCACGTAAAACCAGGATGAACCGCCCTCTGCAGAGGTCTCTAAGGACTAGCTGAGGCCGCCTGCCTGAAGGATAGATGGCTGGTGCCAGGTGAAATAAATCCCACCTGACATATCCCAATTAAAAACCCCTTTAGGTTCTCCAGAATGATTTTGATCCCCTTTCCTTGTAAGACAAAATCCACAGCAGCAGTTTGGGAGGAGAAAAACCTGCTATTATCTACACCGACCATGGCTCGAGCCTATTCTTTATCAATATATAAGGCATTTTGGTGTGAGATATAATCTAATTTGAGCCTGGCAAAATGCATGTCATCTCTGTGTTGCCATTACAAAACCAGCTGAACTGAAGATCGTTCCTCAGCCGCATCATCCTCAAGTGCAGATCTGTGCTAACGAACCTTATCGCTAATAAGCCGCTGCACTCAGGTGTGAAGCCAGCGTGCTGCAGAGGTCTTCAGCTTCAGCAGCAGCTCTGGATCTGGGCTTATTTGTCCGGCTCTGCCTTACAGTTGCATGAAAACGGTGCCGGTTTTGGTTGCGTGCCCCTTTCTCCGCGCTGTGCACTAAACGGCGTGTTTCTCTGCTTTCTCGCTCAGAGGTGAAGCATGCCAGGAACTGCCCCATCGACTGTGCTTCCGTTTACTACAACGGGCTCCGGCGATCTGGGGTCTACAGCATCATGCCCTCGGTCGGCGGGATGCCTATTGAAGTGCTGTGTGAGATGGACACTGAAGGTACTGCAGGAGGCATCTACAACATCTTCTAGAAGAACTTTGGGTGGGATTTGTCTAACCTGAGAGTTGTATCTTATATCTGAGCTATTCTGAGGCTACATTATAGTCGGTGAGAGTAGCATCTCCAGAAGGGCTCTTCTCCAGGGACAGAGGACTTGTCCTTTCTGCTGACTAAAGGAGGGGTTTGGATGAATAGTTCAAACCAGACGTTATGGCTGGGATTCAGTTGCCTAATTACAGGCAGCAGTTTAGTGCTCTTTGAGATGTCCTCATGCATCCAAGATGTTTGCAACACGCTAGTGGATATGACACAGGGC